CATCGTGGGCTGAAGGGCCTGTACCGTGCTGTACTGTTCTATGTTCTGTGTTCCCAACGTAGCATTTGAAGGGCAATTTCAAACTGAAAAGTTTAGGCTTTCCCTTAACAGAGGCATGTGCACTGGAGTTCAGAAACAAAGTGAAAGAAGGCAGCCACGCTGATAGCTGTGTCCTGGAGAACCCCAGCCCCAAACAGAATGATTTTGTTAAGGGAAGGTCGTGTCTTTTCAGTCAATTTAAATTTTTCTGAAGTAACAAAGAAGATTGATGACAGCACTGTAACAGACGCTGTCTATAAGGGTTTTAGTGGGGCATTTAACAAGGTCCCACACAGCAGTCTGGTTGGAAAAATTAAACCTTACGGGATTACAGGGGAACATAAAATCTGCTCACGGACAGGAAACAAACAGCAATGTTGATGGACATTTTTGTGAATGGAAGTCAATTTTCAATGGCGTTCCAGAAGACTAGGTGGTGGGTTCCTTACTGTTTTTAAATAGACATTAATGATTTAAATATTTGCTGAATCTTCAAAACAGACGTGTCAAAGGAGATTTGCTCATCAGGACATTTTGCTAGAATGCCAACTCAAGAGGAAAACCAACACTTATACACAAGAGAGGAGCAGTGATTGGTTGGAAACTGCACTCTGGCAGAGATGGAGAATGCATGCAATGCTGACTGACAGTTAACGGCCAAACTGTAAATTTCAATTATCAACGTATTAATGTACAGGGCCCTGTTCTTTGCAGACAGAAAAGGACATGTATGTACATGACAAACAAAAACAGGAATTCACTGGTTCATTTTCCAGGCCAACATAAATCACACTCAACCTGTTGGGCCTAAAATTTAAGCAAGGTGTGGCAGTTAACTGTCAATCTACATCAACAGGTACATAAGCTTACAGCAACGCCATCCACTTGGCATTCTCCTCCCATGCTGTAGAAGCGTTAATGCTTCCCTTCAAATTGGTATTCTTGCAAAACGTCCAGACGAGTCCATGACTTTAAAAAAAACGCGTCAGAAGAAAATTGCCCTCCAGCAACACTCGGATTAAATGATTTGGACTTAAGTAAGAATTGCAAAACGTATAGGTGATATAAACTGGCCGAAAGGCTAACAGCAAAGAGGATGACAAAGGGAAAAATAGCAAGTGGAAAATCCAATCTGGAGGATTTGGGTAAGGGCATACAAAGCAAGGGCAATAAATGGGAGGGTACCGAGAGGGTTAGAGGAAGCTCTGGACCTTGGAGTATGTGCCCACTGCCCCTCTACCCCCCAAAGGGAGCAGGGCAGGTAGATAAGGTGGCACGAGGGACACTTTCCTTCAATCGGGATGGGCAATAAGTGCTGAATTGGTCAGCAATACTTGCATCCCACAAATGAGAAGAAAACTAAAAGTTATAAAATGCCACTGCTCCCTTATCAGGAGGGTTGCTGGCTCTTCCGAGGCAGCAGTTTGGCTTCAGGCCTGGCGGAGGTAGGTGACAACTCCGAGCATGTGGCACCCCTTCAGCTGCACACTGGAGTATCAAGTCAGGCTGCCACAGGAATGCAGGCCATCTACTGAGAACAGAGATAGTAGGAACTGCAGATGCATTTCTGAAGAAGGGTCTAGGCCCGAAACGTCAGCTTTCCTGCTCCTCTGATGCTGCTTGGCGTGCTGTGTTCATCCAGCTCTATAACCTTGTTATCTCAGATTCTCCAGCATCTGCAGTTCCTACTATCTCTGCTCCAGGAACATCATTTTTTTTCTCTTTCTTATCCTATCATTCCTTTCTATCTTGGAGATCTAACTTTTCTATCATTCAATTTCTCTAGTTTTCCTCCCTATAACAGGCTTTGCTTTTGTCCTTCCATTAATTGAAACTTATTACATCTCCAACTTCTTCCAGTTCTAAGGAAAGGTCACAGACATGCCCTATTAGATGCTTATCCATAGAGATTCTGGCTAATCTGAGTTTTTCCAGCATTCTCTTTTTATTTCAGACTTCCTACATCTGATTTTCAGTTTACATTCTTGGTTAGGCCTACACAGAAGGTTGGACCATTGATTAAGATACCAAAATGTACTGCACAGCATCACCTTCAAGGGATCAGGACAAAAGCAAACTGAAGAATGAGTGCACCAGCAGTGGATTGGGATAAAATTACTCTAGTTTTACTTCCTGTTTGCCTTTAAATTTAACTGCTAGTACATGTAAGAAAGGAATTCCTGATGCAGGAATTGCCTCAAACATATTTCAGAACCAGATTTTCAGAAGAAAATACCATAAGATTCAGAGAATTAATTTTCATATTATTACTAGTTATTACAATTTGGGCACTGACTTAATTGAGCTGTACCATGTAACTGATTTATAAAAAAAGTTGCAACAGAGTTTATAAACGTGCATTCACTTCTTACATTTATTTCTATTATACTGTTGAGCAATTATTTGTATCAAATACAACTTTGACACAGATTTTTTTGAAAATAATCTGTTTGGTAGCTACATTCAAACAACTTCGTAAGAGAACAAAAATCCTTGAAAGTGGTAGAAATTATTGGGCAAACCTAACTTCAATTGTAATGATAAACACCTTCAAATATTCCACAAATAAAGCAAACATCTAGAGAGATGAACACAGATGATTAACAGAATTCTGCAAAAAAAAAACACACACAGGGCTCGTTAGCCAAACGAAAATAGATATACAAAGTAGATGAAAAGTCCAGTCAATCTTCAAAGATTTGTTGAGCCAGAGCTCACAAAAATGCTTTCAGGATACTGCTGATGATTCCAACAAACTGGGCTCTCAATTTCATACATGAAAAATATCTTACCTTACTTAATAGTTTGATTAGTATCACCAGTTATGGCTGTCATTATGGGAACCAATACAAGTTTAGCTATGCCTTTTCTTTTGCATGGAATGTTGAACACTGTGCAAATTACATTCAGTATTCCTTCCTGGCTGACCATTTTTTCGATTGTGTTGGCACCCTGACTGAGGATTTCATCCACAGGTTTCTAAGTCCTACATAACTATCATGCTCTAGCTAAATGTTCCTTCATACATTTCTCTACGCTTGTTGATGGGGTGGGGGCAAATCACAGTCAATCACAACCAGACAACTCCCATGACTCTATGATCACGCTTCTTACGAAGGGCTAGTAATTGGAAAATTTGAACAGCTCTGTCCTGGTACTCAGCAGTGAATACCAGGTACAATTACATCATTGTTCCTGAGCTTTGTGTCATCACAACCTCACGCAAACACTCATACCACATTCAGAATGTAACAATCAAGCACCCTTATGTTAGTCTTTTGCTTCTGAGCAATTTACTCATCACCATAGCAACATCAAAACCCCACAATGCAAGTAATTGCTGCCAGACTAAGAATGTCCCTTTTACCATTTTCTCATGGAAGGTTAAAGATGGCAGAATATTAACAGTCTATTAGTATTATTGCAAAAAATATGAAGCTGTACTTCAGATTCGTTAAATTCATGAAAGGAAAAAACTTAATGTCAGTGCATCTTGTATATGCGCAATCAAAGCAAAGCAGAAAACACAATCAAGACACAATGACATTTCATAGGAACCTTGATTTAGGCTGTTCGTGTTATAAAATGAAGATGGCTGAGTACACTGCAATACCAACTAAAGGTATCAGCGATTGTTTGGGAGGAACCATTGCTGTATGATCTATAAGGGTACCAGTCAGAAGACCAATAACTTATAGCTTGTACATTAATACAGAATACCTCATTACTGAATGTTACAATTTTTAAAAACTTCATTCACGGGAGGAGGGCGTCGTAGGATAGGCCAGCATTTGTTACCACCCCTAATTGCCGAGAGGGCAGTTAAGAGTCAACCACATTGCTGTGGATCCGGAGACACATACAGGCCAGATTAGGCAAGGATGGCTGCTTCCTTCCTTAAAAGGACATCAGTAAACTAGATTGGTCTTTCCTGTCAATCAATAATGGTTTAATGGTCATCGTTAGATTCTTAACTTTTTTATTGAAATTAATATGGATTTTTATTGAATTCAAATTCCACCATGTGCCATGATAGGATTAGAACCCAGGTCCCCAGAATGTTACGTGGGTCTCTAGATTAACAGTCCAATGATAATACCACTAGGCTATCATCTCCTCACATTTATCTTAAACATGTGACAAAATAAGCTGAGAGATGCCAAAAATTCAAAAACATGTAAAAAGTTCATTTACCGATATCTTTCTTCATACTATTTAAGTTGAGAAAGACTGCAAAAACCTATAGAACAGAAAGATTTCTTTTCTCAGACTTGCAAATCTGTGGATTTGTTTACTACACAACACATTTGTATATTCAAGGCTAAGATCGACAGATTGTTAATCCGTAAAGTAGTCAAGAGTTATGGGAAAAAGGCAGGAAAGCAGAGATGAGGATGATCAGATCAGCCAATTATCTCAATAAATGGTGGAGCAGACTTGATGAGCTGAATGGCCTACTTCTGTTCTCATGTCTTCACGCTTAATTTCAATAGGCCAGCTGTCATTAACTAGGCCAAGTCAAATCAACTCAAATGGAATTTTATGAAAAGCCTTTCGAAATTATTTAGAAAGAAGTGAATGTGCACTAAAAATGTATGTTTCAGCCATTATATTAGAAAGGCAGTTTTATGGCTGAAAAATACATCTTACCTTCTGGACCAGCCTTACATGTGGGACCATATCAGAGGCCTTACTGAAGTCCTTGTAAATCTCATCAACTGCGCTACCCTTATTTTGTCACTTTTCAAAAAACTCAGTTAGTCAGACAGGATCTCCCTCCAATAAATCCATGCTGACTATCCCTGATCAATGCCTGCCTTTCCACGTATAGCTTAATTCTGTCCTTCAGAAATTTTTTTCAATAGTTTCACCAACACTAATGTCAAACTAACTGGCCTGTAACTACCTGGCCTATCCTTACCGTCCTTCTTGAACAAAGTGACCGCACTAGCTATCGTTCAGTCACTTGGCACTTCACCTGTGACCAGCAAGGTATTAAACAGTTCCAACAGGGCCCCAGCAATCTGTTCCCTTGCCTCCCATAATAGCCTGGGATACATCTCATCAAGCTCTAGGGATTTGTGAACCTGTATGCCTGCTTAAACATCTAATACTCAGTCTTTATTAATGGGTTCTAGAACCTCACCACCCCCAAATTAAATTCCAGGCTATAATGTCTTTCTCCTCTGTGAATACATATGAGAAGCATTCACTTAAGACCTCACCAGCGTCCGCTGGCTCCAAGCACAGGGTGCCCTTCAGCCTCTAATAGGTCCCACCCTTTCCATGATAATCCTCTTAAAATACTTACAAAAAGCCTTGGGATCTTTCTTAATCCCATCTAACAAAGATATTTTGTGGCCCATCTTTATCCTCCTAATTTCCTTTTTAAGCAACTTTCAACACTCTCCACACTTTTGAAGGGCCTGCCCTGCATTTAATGTACTGTACCTGACATTGGTTTCCTTCTTTTTCTTTACAAAACTCTTGATTATCACTTAGAGAATTCCGAAATTTGACTTGAATACCATGTCAAAGGGCTATGGAGGCTCGCACTGAGTATGTTCCAAGGAGACATTAATATATTTCTACACCTTAAAACTGACAAAGGATACACACACTGCTGGAAAATGGTGTTGAGCCAGAAGATCAATATTGATCCAGCTGAATTGAGAGGCAGGCTTGAAGAGTCAAAAGATCCAGTCCTGCTCCTAATTACTACGCTCCGACTAGGACAATGTAGCCTACATGATTCTTGCCCCATGCACTACTTTAAGCATTGACTTGCCTCACCACTGATGCACAGTGGCAGCAGTCCGTACTATTTACAACTTGCCCTGCAGCAACTCATCTTTTTCAACAGTCCCTCAAGCGTTGGGTTCTGTGGTTGCTGAACAGTCAATTCCTGAAGAAGCAAACTCTGCAACAGGTGGGGCAGGTGGGGAGGACTCTCTTTTAGCTACTTGTACTTGGCTTCTACGGACTCCGCTTGGTGATGTTCAAAGTGGTTGGCACCTTCACGGATGCTTCTTCCCCAGTTTTTGCATTCTAGGGCAAGCAATTCCCATCTGTTGGCAATGTCTCAATTGCTTCAGCTTTCAGGGTGCCCTTACAGCACTTCATGGGCCCTCCTAGTGATCGTTTACCATTAGAGAGTTTGGAGTAGAGCTCTTATTTAGGGAGTTGCATGAAGCATGCAGACAATGTGGCCCATCCATCACAGCTGGATGTTTATGACCAGTGCCTTGATACTGGAGAAACGAACCTGGGAGAAGATGCTTCCATGGCCAATTTTCTGCTCATCCTATAGGTTTGCTCAACTCTGGTGAAAGCTTTACAGAGATGGAGTGGAGTGTTGCAATAGTGAAGGAGAATGTTGGTGTGATGGCGTGGCCTTGCCTGGTCCCAGTTTCTACTCTTACTGGATCTGGTGAATCTGTTGGTGAGGATCACAGTTTGCATGTCATCTGCATCCAATTTTAATCTTTGTACCTGTACCTTACCCAGTAACTATCTCTCTTTTAAAAGTCTATAACTTTAAGCAAATGTCATACAATAAACTAACCTTGGTCTTGTTCAACTAATAAAGATTTGCAGTTGATTATTTTTAAACAGGAACACTAAAAACTGAAAAAGGGCTTAAGGGGTTATTTTAACTTACAGTTCATAGAGCATACTCTGGACATGCCTGGCAGTCACGATACATGAAAAAGCATTTCACAAATTAGTGTTCTATTTAGTGAATGACTGCTCAAAGTATGGGTCATTTCAAAAATTTCTAAATTAAAGATTATCCAAATGAAAATTAAAATTATGTACAACTAGCCCCCTTTCAGTAGAGGCAGAGTTTGATTCAAATTTTAGAGCAGATACTGTGCAACTTTCAAGCAAAAATTTCTGTTGATACTTACGTTTCCCTTCATACAAAACTAACAATTCAAATATTATTGAGGGAGCTAAATCATTTCCCAGCCCCTCAAAGGGAGAGAGAAACTCAATTTTCTCACTGCTAGGCTTCAGAAGATTCTTTAACATTTTTACTCACTTTAAGTTACATGATGCAGTCATGTAGTGATATTACTTGCATGTTCGTTGAATTGTTTGTAGGGGCTGTTTATTTAGAGAAGTAAGCTAGCAGAAATATCAAATAAAAACAGAAATTGCTCGAGAAATTCAGCAAGTTTGGCAGCACCTGCGGAGATAAACAATCAACATTTTGAATCCAGTATGACACTTCAGATCTGCAGTGTTTTGGTTTTATTAGCGCAGATTTCAGATTTCAGGTTTATTCCTCATGGATAATTAAAGTTGCGCAAACTGCAAGATATTTTTAAAAATTCACTAATTGGATGTGGGTATCACTGGCTGGACCATTTATTGCCCATTCCTAGTTGGGCAAGAAAGTGGTGGTGAACTGCAGTCCATGTGCTGTAGGTAGACTTAATGTCGTTAGGGAGGGAATTCCATGAGTTTGACTCAGCAACACTAAAGTAATAACGAGAAATTTCCAAGTCAGGACAGAGAGTGGTTTGGAGGGAAGCTTGCAGGTGGCGATGTTCACATGTATCTGCTGACCTTGTCCTAGCTGGTTGTGCTTATGAGTTTGGAAGGAGTTGTCTAAAGATCTTACGAGAATTTTTGCTGCACATCCTGTAGATGGTACACACTACTACTACTGGGCATCAGTGATGGAGAAGTGGATTTTTGTTGATGTGGTGCCAGTTAAGCTGGCTGCTTTGCCCCGAATGGCGTCAAACTTCTTGAATCTTGCTGGAGCTGTGCTCACCCAGTCATGTGGAGAGCATTTCATTATACTCCTCACTGGTGTCTTATTGATGATGGACACCATGGTTGACAAGATTAAAAACATGTTTACTGAGGTCTGAGGTACCAATAACAGAACATGACTTTGTTGGGTTAAGAACATCATTGGCAGGGAAGTTTCAGTAAAGGGGTAAAGTATCACCAGCCATGAATTAAGGCTGCCTGCAATCTTAAAGTCTCTATTAATTACCTACTTCCCAAATTGCAAGAACAAATCAAGATCAGATGCTTCTCAGTTTCTAAATATATAGCACAATGAAACAGACAGATAGAAGAAGTAGATTAACAATTGACCAAATGAATTTTTTGCATGGCTCATCATTTCTCTTTGCAATTACCATTAACTTCCCACCATATAACCACATGATTGCAGGGAAATTAAGACACAGCAGACTTTCTCTCCTCCATCTGCTGCTCTTGAAGGCATTCTTGTCACAGGCGACTCCACAAGCTTGTTCTTGACCTGGCCACACATCATCTATCTCCACCCTCTTTATTTTCCTGATTCTTTGCAGCCTCCTGTAGGACAAGTGAGTCAGACTAGTTGTCAAGAATAACTACTTTCTGGTCTATTATCACAGCTTCAATCCCTCCTGCTCTGGCTTTCCTACAAAGCAGATTTTCTCTTTCACAGAACCATGTGTGGGAAGGAGAGAATAGCTAACTGGGACACAGAATGTAACTGAAACAGCTCCTCAAATTCTGTCTCTCACTCGTTGATCCAATAAAGTTCTATATTATTTTCCTGCTCTGAGATGCCAGTACGTTTACTCAGGCCCTTTTGGAATACAAAGCGGTCATACTAAAAGCAGGAGATATATGGAAGTGACCTCACTTGAATTTTTCACCTTGAGTATGGTGGTTCAAAAAGATACCTCATTACCATCGTCAAGAGCAAATTAAGGGCTACAGTAACTGCTTGCTTTGATAGAGATGTCCAGAACCCACAAACAAACTCAATTTGTTTCAGTTTCAAAAACAAGTTATTCACCATGTCATAATTACTAAAACTATTAAAATGGCAGTAACCACACAAGTGCAGTGCAGATGCCAAATACAAAAGCTGCCAGCAAGATTTTTAAATATCCAACAAGTACGTATCAAGCTCATATAAACTAACAAACCTTTCTAAACTCCAAACCATCTGAAAGTATATCAGACTATTTTCACTCCTAAGAAACTATCATTTATTCCCCAAGCCTTCAATTTTGTTCAAGAATCCTCAATCCATCTGATACATACCAGAATACTCATTCCAACTTATAAAATGAACCATAGCAAGTGATTTTGTGCAAAAATGCAGACTTGCATAACTCAAACAAAGCCAAACTGGACTTTTTTTTTTAGAAAACGTTGTTACCATTGCAGCTGCAAGAATGCATTGTTGCTGTAGTCCCATGACTCCATGGGTCAAATCTAAAATAAAAATGCTTTTTCCAGTTACTAAGAAGATCAATTAAATAATTTACTGATATCTAGTTTTGTGCAAAAAGACCTATCAACTAGATTTCTTTAAGAAATTCAATTACTAGTTAACTGATTAACATTCATTGTCAGAAACATAAATTAAAAGCAGAACTAAAAAAGGTAAATTGACACAGGATTGACAATATTTAAGACAAACATGTGGTTCAAAGATAGTGTCAGAGAAACAGGTTCGAATTCATGGGACATTGGCATCAGCACTGGGGAAAGAGGAAATTGTTCCAATAGGAGTCTTGGCAAATCATATAACTAGGGCTAAATAATGGGTTTTTTTTGGGGTGGGGGGCAAAGTAGAGGTTATTAAAGTTTCCAAAACAAGTAATAGGATAGAGTATGGAGTGGGTCAGGAATCTAATTTCAGGCACAGTAGATTAGGGCACAAATATGACAGGGGAGGGGACATTGTACTTAAATGCACACAGTATACAAAACATGGTAAACAAGCTTGTAGGACAAATTGAAGTTAGCAGGTATGATGTTGGAGGTAACACAAAAGTGGATGCAAGTGGATCCAGGCTGGGAACTCAGCATCCAAGAATATATATCCTATTGAAATGGTAAGCAGATGGACAGGGGGAGCAGGGTTGCCTGTTATATGAGAAATGAAGTTAAATCAAGAGCAAGATGTGATATAGAGTTGAAAGCAGAGAATCTGTGAGCAGAGTTGAGGAACCACAAAGGAAAAAGGTCCTGATGGGAGTTATGCACACGTGTCCTATCAGGTGTCAGGATGTAGGGACAAAAACATCTCAGAAGATAGAAAAGGCATGTTAAGAAAGACACTATTATGATAGTCATGAGGGACTTCAATATGCAGGTTGACTCTGAAAATTTAGGTTGGGTAGCAGTCCTCCAGAAAAGGAATTTATGGGACATCTAATCAGATTTTTTTTTTTGTTTTTAATAAAAACAGTAGCTTGTGGTAGAAACCATGAAGGAATAGACAGTTCTGGATCTGATGATGTGTAACAAGGCAGACTTGATTAGGGAGCTTAAGATGTCCTCGGTGGCAGTGACCATAATACAGAGTCATACAGCACAGAAAGGGAGCGTTCGGCCCAAACAGTCCTTGCTGACCGTAATCCCAAGCTAAAACTAGACCCAACTGCCTATGCTTGGCCCATATCCCTCCAAATAGGTCTTATTCATGTGCTTATCCAAACAATCGCATTCACCCTACAGTTTGAGGAGGAAAATCTGGAATCAGATCTAACTGTATTGAGTACTACAAAGACATGAGGGAAGGGCTGGCCAGCATTGACTGGAAAGGGAGTCTAGCAGAGATTCATCCCAAAGAAGAAGAAAAATACTAAGGGGGAAAAGCAGGGCAACCATAGCTGACAAGGGAAGTCAGGAGCAGCAAAAGCAAAAAACAATATGATGAAGATTAGTGACAAGCCTTTAAAAGTCAATACAGGACAACTGAAAACGCAATGGGAGGTGTGGGGAATGAAATGAGGCGAACCTAGTTAGTAATAAAACAGAAGGTTGCAAGAGCTGTTTTTAAGATATAGAAATGGTAAGAGAGGGGCAAGCGTGCACATTGGACCACTGGAAAATGAGGCCAGAGTAGTAGTAGTGGGAAACAAAGAAACTGCAGAGGAACTGAATAGGTACTTTGAATCAGTCTTCACAGTGGAAGATACCAGCAACATGCCAGAACCTGAACAGAGTTTCGGGACAGAACTGAGTATAGTGGTCATCATGAAGGAGAAAGTGCTGGAGAAGTTGAAAGGTCAGAAGATGGATAAATCACCCACAGATGGATGACACCCCAGAATTCTGAAGCAGATAGCTGAGGAGATTGTGGAGAAATTGGTGGTGATTTTTCAGTAATCACTGGAGTCAAGGAGGAGCCCAGAGGACTGGAAGTTGGCTAATGTAATACTCCAGTTTATGAAGGGAGGGAAGCAGAAGACAGGAAACTATAGACCAGTCAGTCTGACCTCATTTGTTGGTAAGGTTTGAGTCCATTATTAATGATGAGAACCAGAGACTTCAGGACAAAAAAGAAAAACATGGCTTGCTCTCTGTAGAGGTTCATTTTAAAAACTCATCCAGAAGGCTAAAAGGATAAGTTGCAGACTGTTCTAAAGTCCGTAATTTTGATGTTATAACACAGGGTGAAGTCACAGCCTGCTCAGGAAACAATATTGAGAGGTTCCCTCAATCACTCTGCCAGATGAACGAACAAGTTTCACCCAAAGCTCAAGAGGTTCATTTTCAGAAAGTGGAAAGATCAGTCAGATCCTTCCTCGTCGGCTTCTTGCTCCCCAACTAATTTCAGACACCTAAACATTATTTAAACAGCTCTATACAAGGGTCTATAGCAGAACAAGCAGTTATCAGCATTCATGGGGTTTCTAGGAAACTTTGTTCAAAAGAAACTCTACTTCCACAATAAACCTTTAATTAACCTCTAATTAATAAACCACATTCGTATATCCACACTTGAAATATATCCACTCTTCCACAATCTTTCAAAACCTAATCTTCCAAGAAATAAAGATGCAGCATCTTCTGAACAAAATATATTTACACATTCAAATTAGATATCCTGATAATTTAATATCTTAGTCCTCCAATAAAAAGTTGTTAGTGCATTAAAATATCCTAAACTACTAGTGCCCATTGACTGTTAATGAATATGGCATTTGTAAAAATTAAGACAATTCCATCTACATGCAAATCACAAACACAAATGACAGATACATAAACTGCACTTTCACATATAAAATGAATGCTAGAGAAAAAGCAAACCACAAAAATAAACAGAGCAGCTGAGTTTCACTAGCATAAAGTACTCCCATCGAAATCAGGTGGTTTCACGATTTAAAAAAAACAAACCTACAGCAATGGCAGATATCAGAACATGCGGTATTATCCCTCTCAACTTATGGAACTGACAGTTAAGTCATTAAAAGGGCGAATCTCTCAAAAGGTGGGACCTCTAGTTGGTGCCGAAATGGTTAATCTGCAAGAAAATGGTGAAAACCGACCTCGACAACCCTGGGTTGATGAACCAGACTGGAACACCTACTAGATAGTTATCCAGACAAACGCATATTGGAGAGCAAGGAGACAGATACGAACAGGGTTCAAGAGTGATGCCCTCTACAGTCGAATTGCGTAGTCAAGTTAGAGTTACGGCTCGTACATAGAAGACACCTCAAAAGCCGCATCACGGCGCGCAACGAAAACACAGGCACATACAAAATGAGTACACAGAAGAGAACGTGCGAGTGAGTTTGTGTTTCGGTTCTTAAGAGGTGAAGGCAGCAGAAGAAAAGGAAACCGGGTGGGAAGGGAAGAAAAAGCACAGAAACCGCCAGGTAAGCCGTTCCCAGCTCCAGCTCAGGGACCCCTGCCCAAAATGCATACAAACTAGACATACAGAGTGACCAGGACATGAAGCCGCTCCAGCCCAGGCGGTCGGGGATAACAGACGGAGCTTGGTTAGCTGGTCTGACTGTGGTGGGCGGCGGCTCCCAGTCATCTCAGCACCAGGGTTTATTTATTTTGGAGGCGGGTGGGAATAAAAGAAGGAAGCGGCACACTCCGCCGTCTCGAGCTGTCGCCCGTTATCATCACTCAGAAAATAAAAGGACCAACGGTCGATTGACAATTCAGCAATCGTTATTCGGTTATCCGTCGGCCACCAGTTCGACTCTATGTTCACCCACCGGGAACAGCCGATGAATCGATTCCGATTTATCGTCCCCTGCCTCCCCCTGAGTGAGCGGCGACTCTCCTGCTGGCCGCCATTTTCCACCGGTTTGCTGGCCCCAACAACCGCCCGTCCTCTGCTGACTGACAGCCAGGCACAAACAACCACGGCCTCCTATTGGCCCAATGCCAAGGCCAAATATCATTCGGCTGCTGATTGGGCGAGATGTACATAGGGGCGGGACCAATGTCATTCCCCCCTCCACCCGCAAAACCACCGGAGTTTAACTCTTCGAAAACTGATGAAACTTCAATAGAGAGTTATCTAGACTCGAGAGGTTAGGTTGCTCTCTCTCCGGGCATCGTGCCTGGCCCGCTGTGATTTCCAGCACTTTTTGTTTTCAGTACAGATTCCAACATCAGCAGTTATTTGTTCCTACGTTAATTCTTCGAAACCTGCCTCCCGAAAGACTCGTCTTTGTGGTAATCGCCCTACCTCTCGACCAGGAGGCTCAGGTTCCAAGATCCATCTGCTCTAGAGGTGTGCAACGGCGTTGATTTAGAAAACATCTATCATACTTTTCTCCACGACCCACCTTCCACGTATATCTGCGCAATTTACTTTTTGGAGTTTAATTTAGGAAATGTGGCAGCAATCAACCACAGACATTAATGTGTTTATGGTAGGTAATCCCTGCTGTAATGTCAGTTGAGCATTTGGGTCATTTACACGCGGAAGAAAGGCTTTTGTATTCATATAATGCCTTTCATGATCTCATAAACTCATTGCCTGAAAGAGTGGTAGAGGCAGGATGCATCAAAACTTTTAAGGGACACTTAGATGATTACTGCTAACGCCAAAGCATATAAAAGATTATGTGCCAAATGTTGGAAAATGGGATTAAACTTTGATGACTGCCACAGACATCATGGGCCAAATGACCTCTTTCTGTGGTGTAAAAAGCTACGATTCTTGATGTCCCAAAGTGCTTGTCAGCCAGTAAAACACTTTAGTCACTGTTGAAATGAAGGAATAGACCATGTGCTATTTTGTTATCAGTTGTGGCTCAGTCAGCTGCATTCTCACCTAAGTCGAAAAGATTGTGATCGAAAACCCACTGCTGAGACTTGAGCAAAAATATGTAGGTTACCCCTGGGGAACTGCTACATCATTAGAGATGCTGTATTTTGGAGACGTTAAATCCAAATCCCAACCTGACTTTCATAAGAGATTCCGCAGGACTACTTCAAAGAAAAGTATAGGAATTATTTCTGGACAATATTTATCCATCAGTAATTATCACAAAAATGACATACATGGCCAATTTCATATTGCTGTTTGTAGACACTTACTGCACATACTAGATAAATAAAGTCTGTGAAAATACATGCTTGTGAAAGGCACTATATGTACAGTACAAATCTTTATTATTTTAGTTAAGCAATTCAGTGTTAATTGGAAGTACTAAACTTGTCAGAAATGATTATTCTCATTTCAAATGCTTTGAAGTTAATTCAATAAGGACTTAACAATAAATAAGATAGCTTTTCATTTTTTTAAAGAACAGAAACTATAATGTACAATTGATACTACACTGGAACATTGTTTACTGGAAGGAAGATGAAAGATGTGCCTCAAGATTTCTGTTGTAAAACATCTGCAATAAAGGTATTCAATGAGACAAAGAAATACTCTGATTACTGCAATACTATACTGGTGAAGTCATATGCCAACTCACTGCAAATTAAATAAATCTTTGACTTGGATATTTGCACAGGGTGCTTTTTTGTTCTCAGATCAAATACTTTGCTCAAAGTTGTTGCAAGTATATTTTCTTTTAGTTCTACAAAAGTAATTGAAACCTCCTTTCTACAGTTAGTTGCTAACTACTTTGAAATTCACTTATGGACTTAATATGGCAGATATTACTAACTTCTAAATCTGCCAAACACAGTACAGAATAATTCCAAAATGACCATGCCAGCAACAATAACAATTATTTTACATTACTGTACTTTACCATTAAAGGAGAAAGGTATTTGACATTCTGAAAATCTGTAATAGTGTACGAATATTCCCTGTATGCTTCTTAGTTTCCCATCAAAATGTATATGCTTTAACAGTCTAGCAACATCTGAATAATGTTCCCTTTTTTTTGCACTCATCTTGTAACTTATCCAAATGAATTTTCTTTATATATGACCCTTGGCAGTTAGCGTCAATGGGTTTTATTGACAATCGAGAACATCATCATTACTGCCACAAAAGGTTTCCCTGCGCCAATTCTTTTCATTGGCCTGCTATGGATTTGGCTGTTTTTCAGGGTCAGCATTTAGAGAATAATTCCTACTTGAATAATAGGACCCAGCACCATGGGTGGTTGAAAAATTACTGCTAAACACCTCAGGCGCTTGCAGCAGTGGACTTAAGCCAATTGTTTTCGTGGCAGCTGAAAGAAGAGCTTTTTAAATTTAGGACTTAAATTTGGAGCAGTATAATTGATCACTCTCTGTTTCTCACCGCAACATGACATGCTAACAATATGGTATTAATGAAGTGTGGTACATCAATATGTCATTTTAACACAGAGATACATGTTGAAGTGGGAAATCCCAGATGGGATACTGAGCATTGGGAAACTTCCAGTATATTTCCCTGGTCATAATCACTCCAAATCCACAGAAGCTAGTTTTGAAAAATGGACAAAGTCCTTCAGAAAATTGTCCCTCATGTTTCTTTATCATAAATGTATAAATTTACAGAAAGGCTTTGAATTGTCTTTGAGCATTTACTCATCAATTTAATGCATTTTAGTTCACTAACTCATTCGAAGTTTGCTTTGTTCAAATAACATATTGAAGTTTTAAAATTTGGTCATCTATTATTTTTGATTCACATATGTGAGTGTCGCTGGCTCGGTCAGCATTTATTGCCCATCCCTAATTTCCCTTGGGAAAGTAGTGCCTTCTCAAACTTGTGCCATCCTTTGGGGTTAGGTACAGCCACAAAACTATGAGGAAGGGATTTCTAGAAGTCTAACACATTAGCGATGAAGAAATGACAATCTAGCTCCCGAGTGAAGATAATGCGTGGCTTGGAGGGGCATTTGCAAGTGGTGGTCATGCTCTTCTAGGTAGTAGAAGTTGCAAGTTTGGAAGGTGCTGTCAAATGAGTTTGTGGGATATTACAGTGCATCTCTTACTGTAGATGATACATTGCTACAACTGTATGTCAGTAGTGAAGGGAGAGACTGTTAAAGAGGGTGAATGAGATGCCAATCAAGTGAGCTGCTTTGTCCTGGTTAGTGTTGAACTTCTTGAATGTTGCTCCTGCTACACTTGTTCAGGCAATTGGAGAGTATTCCAATATAATCCTGACTTGTAGATGGTGGACAGACTTTAGAGAGTCAGGAGTGAGTTACTTGCCACAGAATTCCTAGCTTCTGACCTGTTCTTATCACCACCATATTTATATGGCTGCTGTAGTTAACTTTATGATCAAAGATAACATCCAGGATATTGTTACTGGGAGATTTAGTGATGGTAATGCCATTAAATGTCAAGAGGGCATGATTAGATTCTCACTTGTTGGAGATAGTAATTTCCTGGCACTTACCTGGAATGAATGTAATTTTCCACTTGTTACCCCAAACCTGGATATTGTCCAAGTCTTGCTGCATATTAACATTGATAGTTTCAGTATATGAAGAGACCCAAATGGTGCTGAATATTGTGCAATCATCAGCAAACAATCCACCTCTGGCCTTGTGGATGGAATGAGATTAATGAAGTAACTGAAGATTTTTGGTCCAAGGACACTCCCCTGTACTGATGTTCTCGGACTGAGATGATTGACTTCCAACAACCAGAACTATCTTCCTTTATGTTAGGTATGACTTCAAGGCTGCATCTTTCCAACAGAAAGTTAAACAATTAAACAAAGTCCAAATCCATCTCATTCATCCTGGAAGTGTGTTGAAATTAAATTATCTCTGGCTTCTCAGGCTCTACAATGTGTCAAATAACATCAAGCAATGTGGTTGTCCTGTCATGCTGTCTTGGACATTCTTTCTGGTCAACATGCTGATCGTCAATCTCATAAGATCGTTAAAAATAAAACAGGGAACTGTGGTCTCAGCAGATTGTCCTTGTTCCCCCTTATTGTCTGCATTCAGTTGCTCATTGAAATGAGCAATTGGCATAAAATGTCAGAGCAGCTGTGACCTGATAGCCACTGGGATTGGATTTCCATCTTGTTCTTTTGAACCCATGTACTCCAACAAAACAGGAAGAAAATGACACTGAGGCCTATAGTATGAGGAGTCTCATCATAGTCCTCCACCTCCTTGATGGATCTTCACCTGCCTTAGAGTAGCACCAATGTCACAAAGACTCCACAATAAACCCTCTGCCACTGCACCGTGATCTCCATGTAAGAAATGTAAGCAAAAACATCCATGGGGAATTTCAGAAAAGTAATACATTTCATTGAAGAAACTCCTGAGCCTTCAGAACCAATGCATTGAAGCATCATTTAAAGCCTTGACACAGTGTGGAATAGAGGCTTCCCAAAGTGGTAATTTTCATAACTCCAAAATGATCACCCATGTATGTCACTTTACCCAAATGTACATTGTACAATCTAACTTATCATGCTACGTTAAGGGAGTAGACAATTAGTATTTTGTTTTGACTTGATATTTTGGTTTTATATTTTCTCTGACTTTCTGCTTTAACCTTGCCTTCTAATTTCTCTGTCGTCAGCCTTGTCACACTCTCTTCTCTTTATGCATTGTGTGTACATCTCTTTTCTCGCTCTTTTCCTCACAAATGTATTCATCCATGCTATCTGAATAATATTTCATTGGATTCAGTAATCCTGGTCAACTGGAGCTAGGATAACAATTACCTCATGGTGCGTCAAGTAATTTGGGAGTATAGCTAACCTTGCTTAAACCTTTGACTCGTCACACTTCCTACACGATTTTTCTTTTGACTCCTCTCACTTCCTACAAACCAAAGGGGTGGCTATGGGCACCCGCATAGGTCCGAGCTATGCCTGTCTCTTCGCAGCTCCCCCCAACAACAATAAGGATAGAGTCCCCTGGTCCTCACATACCACCCCACCAATCTCCAAATCCAACTCATCATTCTCCACCATTTTTGCCACCTGCAATCAGACCCCAACACCAAAAGATATTTCCTTTCCCACTCCTGTCTACCTTATGTAGGGACTGCTCACTCTGCAACTCCCTCGTCAGCTCCACACTTCCCACTAACCACACCACAACCGGCACCTTTCCCTGCAACTGCAGGAAGTTCTACACCTGCCCCTACACCTCCCCTCTCACCTCCGTCCAAGGCCCCAAGCAATCATTCCAAAGCCGGCAGGGATGCACCTGTATATCTTCTAACCTGGTCTATTACATCAATTGCTCCCGATGTGGCCTCCTGCATATTGGAGAGACCAAACACAGACTTGGTGACTGATTCACAGAGCATCTGCGCTCTGTACGCTCTATTCAACACCACGTTATCGTTGCCAGCCATTTCAACTCCCTTTCCCACTCCCTTGGCAACACGTCCATCCTGGGCCCCCTCCACTATCAAAATGAAGCCACACATAAACTGGAGGAACAACACCTTATATTCCACATTGGGAGCTTACTAACCAATGGCCTCAACATAAGTTCACCAGCTTCAAGATCTCCCCACTCCCAGCCCTCCCTCTCATTCCCATCTCCTTTACCTGACACAACCTGTCCATCTTCCTTCTCATCTATCCGCTCCACCCTTCCCACTGACCAATCTCTACAACTCCCTACTTGCATCCACCTATCACCATCCCACCTACCTTTCCCACAGCCACACCCCGCTCCCTTTATTTACTTCTGACCTTCCCTCCCCCTCCACAGTCCTGATGAAGGGTCCAGACCCAAAATGTCAACTTTCCCATTCCTCCGATGCTGTCTGACCTGCTGTGCTTCTCCAGCTTCACATTTTATCGACTCATAACTTAAGCATGTTCATCACACGTTTTCAATGTATGCAGAAAACACAATGTTTGGAAAGAGTGAGGAGTTACAAAAATACTGGCTTTTAAGAACTTTACGCTCTATTTCAACTCAATTTTTTGTTTTGGTGCAGAAGACTGGCAAAGATAAATAAAAGTATCTCTACATTATGAAGTCCAAAATATAGTCCATTGTCTTATCAGAGAGAGTTGACTGGCGGTGGTTTAACCGGGGGTTCACCACAGGCGAGAGGAGAGGTTGGGAAGGAGAGTCCTTTATGGTAAGCTCAGCCGGCATGGCAATTGAGCCCATGCGGTTGGCGCCACTCTACATTGCAAACCAGCCAATTAAGCTAACTGACTCCTACAATAACCACAGACCTGCTGCAGAATTCTCCTCTGGCCATAACAGCATACATAGTAAGAGGTAGGTGAATGTATTAACGATGTCCTCATAACCTTTGGAAGCAGAAATGCAAGAAATTCGTAGGCTTAAGGATGGCTCTCTGCAGTCTGATTCCACGGGTCACATTTAAATATGTACTATACATGCTGTAATCATCATTACATAAATATTGTGATGCCTTAATATCAGAATTTCTTGCATCTATCATGCCTACATTTTCCTATCCACAATGCTTCAGATTTAAATTTGTGACTGATGCTTAA